TACTACAACCCATATTTGAATTTGAACTTCTCTTAGTGTTGAGGAGGGTGTTTTAATTTATTCAAAAATATGTTCATAAAATCTAATACAAAGTGTAATTAATTCTTTGATAACAAACATATTCTTTTATCTCTTTATATAGCTCAAACCTTCTCCTAGAGTGGTAGCTATGTAAAACTTATATTTTATATAGGTTTCTTAAGACTTCGTATATTCCCCCCCCCCCCCCCCCCAAAAAAAATAATGCTAAATAATAATATATTTATGAAATTGATGTTGCGTTAAGAGTATTTACCAAAATACTATTGAGAAAATTCTGGTTAAGAAAATCGCCCTTAGTCAAAGTTACGAAGGATATTGCACAGGTCAAAGGAGGAGAGAAGATAATTGTGGGACCCAACAAAAAATCAAGTGTTTTTAAATTAGAGTATGAATTTTGATATATATATTTTTTTATAAAAATTGGAGTACAAATAAAAAAGTTATTACACTTAAAAAACAAGGTACTTTTTATTTTAATGAGTCCCACGATTATTTTTTCTCCTCCTTTGACATACGCAACATTTCATAACTTTGCCCAAGTCGCCAATTGTATTGAGGATTCTGTTAACCAGGGTTTGCCCTGCAGTATTTTGGTAAATACTTTTAACTCAACATCAATTTCATAAATATTTTTTTTACTTAGTATTATTTTGAAAAAAAAACTAAGTTCTTAATTCTTAAATCATAATACTATTTAGAATAAAGATTGAATTCATCAAAGTAACACAAGTATGTGTGAAATCAAGCAGAAGAACGCCTAGGGTTAGGCGTGAGCGTTGAAGAGATCCCAAGAAAGAGCGAGTAACGTAGAGGGTGGCAAAACTAGACCAGGGGCGGCGGTGAGAGGCTAAGCGGCCAAGGTTTGTATTGGGCTAGTGCTAATGCAGGTTCGATCGATTGAAGAAGAAGCAATCAATGCGTGTTGCGGTCGTTTGAGAGAAGGGAGCGAATCCTCTGGGCGACTGTGAAACAGGAGCCTCCGTCAATATTGTGAGGAGGTGATGGAGGCGTTTCTAGAACACAACGAGGTGGAGAGGTTGGACGAAGCATTCGGCAACATGGAGATGGACGATGAAGATGAGATCATCTTGGTAGAAGTCACGGCTTCAGGTGCGGTGGATGGAAATTTAGCTCTTGTTGGGACCATCACTTCGGATATATCAGTATGATTCACTACTTTTCGGGATACTATGGCATCCGTGTGGAGGCCGGTTAAAGGTATTACTATTACTGACTTGGGTAATAGACGCTACTTGTTTCAGTTTTATAATGTGAATGATATGTTGCATGTTTTGGAAGACGGTCCTTGGATATTTGATTAGGATCTTATCGTTTGGATTCAAATGAACATAATTTCTCGGTTAAATGGAACCACTTTATGAGAATAAGGGTGGGTCTAGTCTAGAAAATTTGTAGTTTCTAGAACACAGCGAATCCGGTGGGTTTCTTTTCTGAGGAAAATGCGGTGACAATAGGGAATTTTGTGGGAAGGTTCATAAGGTTGGATGAACATAATTTCTCGGTTAAATGGAACCACTTTATGAGAATCAGGGTGAGTCTAGATCTAACTGGGCCTCTGAAAAAGTAATTAGTTCTACAAAAAGAGAGAGCTAGTTTCCGTGTCGTCTTTCATTATGAGAAACTGCCCAATTTCTGTTTCTTGTCTGGCATGATTGGGCACGCTGAGAAACAATGTCCTCGCAACCCTGAGGGGTGCATAAGAATGGGGGGTAAACCGTACGGGCCATGGCTTAGGGTTACTAAATTAAGAGTAACTCTCAGGTTGGAGATAACAAGTCGTTAGTACCGGTCGGGAAGAATCTGACTCAAGGCAAAGAGGGAGCGGGGAATGGACCTAGTTCAGGTAATAAGATTTCCTTGAATACGGGAGCTACTCAGATGTGTAGGAGGGTCAACCAGGAGGACGAGGGCGACATGGAGGTGGAGACGCATGGGGTAAAATGGGAAGGAGGCGAGTTGCAGACTTGCAGCTCTGCAACTCGCCTGACTCATCATTGACAAGCTTGCAGAAGGTTCAGAATAAAGATGGAGCAGATAGTCTTCATCGAAGGATTGCTAGTTATTTCTTTTTATTTATTTTATGTTTTGTGTTCCAACACTTTATTTGTATTGTTGCTATTGAATCTGAGGATGGTAGGCGGGTTTTGATTTTCGTTCTGGTTGGTAGGAGTTTGTTTGAAAGTAATTAGGCCGTTTGGGCCTTGAATCTCTCGTATGTTCAGCGAATAGTCACACTCAGTTTTGGGTTGTCTATTTTATATCTAATATGAGGGTGTGAGGGCTCTTGCCTCTTGGCATAAAAAAGATGAGAAACTGGGGTCGGTTTGAGGGTGATGATGTAATGTTGTTTGGTATTAATATAATTTGAGCTTTCTTCTCTAAAAAATCGTAATACTATTTCTAGGTAGTTGCAAATTTTAAGTCCTCCACTCCTTCAACGTTCTCTAATTCTCCGATTATCTTTCGAGCTTTGCCAGTTCTTCACTTCTCTGTCAATTTTCTTGTTCCTCTCTCGTAGCTCTCCTTTCTCTTCACTCCAATTTGAGGGATTTAATATTCCATTTTCTTACAAACTAACAAAAGCTAAAGTATCAAATATACAAACAATTTTTGTAGAGAGCATTGGGCTGAAGTACACTGAGCATATTATTTTATGTGAAGCTGTGCATCCGCCCCAGCCTACTATAAGCATCAGACCCATATGCATAATTTCATAAATTGGACCCATTATAAAAATAAGAAAAACTTATTTCTAGACCGATGCACTTACTTCTAGACCGACACACATATATCTCGAACATCGTATACGACACAAAAGAAGATATAGATGTACATGAAATCACCAATTTTCTAATTAGTGAGCCCAAATTTGAAATTTATCTTACTAAAGAATCTCACTTTAAATATAGTGTCAAAAGAAATTACTTACCCAGCTTAGATTATTCAACTTTAATAAAGTTTTAATTTTTTATATAAAGTTTTAATTAAATATAACTATTTTATTTTATACATCTAAGTCTAAATTTACTATGACAATGATCATTTGAATTTTTTTAGTTTATTTATGTGTTTTACAATAAAGCTATTTTCTGTAAATTAGCCTCCATATTTTTTATATTTGTAGATAATTACTCCGTACTTCGTAAATAAAGCCAACTCTCCTTTTCTATTTGCCACAAAAAAATTTGTCACTTTCTTTTTAAAGCAACGAATTGTTATTTTATTCATTTCTTTCTCTTCTGCATCAAGTTCAAATTGACAAAGTTGAGTGGAACGGACAGGGACAGATCCAGGATTTCGAATCAATGGGGGCGAAATTTTTTCGTTAGTGTAAGAGTGAATTTTTTTTGTTAGTGTAGAGGGCAATTTTTTCCCCACTAGTGTAGCGGAGCGATTTTTTTTGCTAGTGTAGGGCTGTGCGACTATTTTTTATTCAAAAAAATCCATTAAGGCATACATGATCGACATTTGAATCTATTACATTATTCAAAGTTTAGACAATGGAAAATAACTTTAATTTTATAATTGAAGTGCTTTAGGAAAAAATATTGATACATTAAAGCGTAAGAAATGACAAATCAAAGAGAAATTATTTGAAATTAAAAAGGATATATTATATATTATCAAATTATTTGAATATAAAAAGTTTAAAAAGTATTCATCCACTAATTCTTTTTAAATAACTTCTGCTTTATTTAATCACATGAATCCTATCGGAATAAATGATTAATTTTTGAATTGCAATTTTTGTCTAGCAAAGAGAGTGTTCGTGAGTCACGAGAAGTTTTCTTAATATTACAATATTATGTATGAAATTGTTATTTTTAGAATTATATTATATTGCACATTCATATATATGGTGCATATTGTATTTGTATTATTGCTAAAATAAGGTAAAAGTTGTTATCTATGCAATAAATTGTTTTTAGAAAGTAAGAAGTAAATCAGCTGTGTAAATTGGATTCAATTCACATGATTTAAAAACTGTTTAACTAGTGTGTCTGATAATTAAACATTACAAAACTAGGAATTTTTATATAATACAAAGTATGTATCCTAAGTCTTGAACAATGAGTTACTCTATTGTTTATTTGTTTAAGTTATGTAAATTATCCTAGATGCTATATAAAATTTTGAAAACTAAAAGTTAAGGGGGACGAACACATATATATCTAACTAAAGCATAAAAGTTTTATCAAAATATTACATATATATAATAGAAAACTTTGAAAGTCCAAGGGGGCGGTCCCCCCCGCCCCCCCTTAAATCCATCCCTGGGAACGGAGTTAGTACATACTACTTTTGTCTTAAAATACTTGGCCAAATCTTAAAATTTGGACCGTTATTTTGATTAGTATAATATTGTGAAAGTTATATATTTTTTTTACTTTTATGAACATATTTCTAACAAAGAACATCTTCGTATCATTTTTATATTATAAATAATTTCCAATAAATATATATAATAGGTACAAGTTTTGAATATGGCGAAGTAATTTGCAATATTTATAAAAAACTTGATGATGGATGCAACACAGGCCACATGCGTTTATAATGTTCAATTTTTCTTTTCTTGCATAGTTTGGATTAAATCTCGATTGATAAAAGAAAAAGTTAACTAGGCTACGGGAGTGTTTGCAACTATTTCTGCTTAAATAAAACACTTTTGGAGATGTAAGGAAAAAATGATTAGTAGTAAAAGTTGATAGTGTTTGAGTAGTAAAAGTTGATATTGTTTGATAAAATAAGTGCTTTTTGTGTAATAGAAAAGGGAAAAACACTTTTCACACGCAGAGAAAAAGTAAAAATTGATAGCGTTTGAGAAATAAGTGCTTTTTAAAGTCAAAAGCTGAGAAGTGGTTTTTTTTAAGCCGTTGCAAACACTCGCAGCACCCAACAAAAAGCTCACCGGCCAAGTAGTAAATTCATGGGTGTCCTTAAATATAATAAGATGAAAGTGTTGGGGTGAAAATAGAATATCCAAGGACTTCGGCATGGAAAGATGGCGTGATAATGGATAATCCGGATAGGCATCACCGCTCAGTGTTGCGTAGTGAGCCCATAATATCACCACATCAATCCTCACAGCCATGGATCGATCGAACTACGTCCCGAGCACATCCTTAGAAGAATTCAGTAAGCAGCCTCTTCACGATATGAACCTAAATTGGTCACCTACCGATTGCAGGTTAGCCCTAATTCACCAATTGTATGTGCATATACAAAAACTAGGGATTATAGGTGTGTTGGGAATTATCTGAGGCGGTTAGTTCTTACAATACTTTCAGACGTATGCTGCGGAATTCTAAATCACCTTAAATGATGGTTAATTTGTTACTATTTTGGACCAAGTGAATGAATGTCGGTTAATGTGATTGGAAGTTGACGGTTTCATGCTGTTCTTAGTTGATTGTAGTACTTTATCTGAAATTGTTCATGTTGATAATCGTTTATACTCCTGTACGTGCAATATAGAGCTAATGATCGCCCAGAAGGAGAATTGAAAGACAATTTAGCTGCAAGGAAAGTTCAGAAAGCTGATCGGGAGAAACTGAGGAGGGATCGTATGAATGAGCAGTTTGCCGAATTGGGAAGCACTCTCGGTACAGGATAAGTTATTTTTTATATGCAGTTTGATACTTTGATGTAATTGATTAATGTCTTTGGCAGATGGTAATTTTAAAGCTTTTGCTTAAAACTGCATGTGCAGATCCGGATAGACCTAAAAATGATAAAGCCTCAATCATCATTGATACAATTCAAATGGTGAAGGAGTTAACGGATCAAGTTAGCAGACTCAAGGATGAGTATACTGCTCTTACTGAAGAATGTCGCGAGGTGATGATCCCCTGACTTATATCCCGTTTGGTAAGGGTATTTGGTTGAAATGGTGTAATTTGTTGTATTTTCTGTTGAGAAAAAACAATTGGTAAAATTAATTTCAGCTGAATTAGTACATAATCCGAATTATGCTACCACACCAGGCCTTAGTTGACATATCGATGCCGCATTATATACTCTGTATACATTCACTGGTCACTTTTTGTCCCAAGCAGTTGACTCAAGAAAAGAATGATCTTAGAGAAGAGAAGGCATCCATTAGATCTGATACTGAAAGTCTGAACGCTGAATACCTACAAAGACTCAGGACTGTGTATCCATGGGCAGGGATGGAGCATCCGCTGGTCATGTGCCCGCCTCCATACCCGTACCCAGTACCCGTCCCAATTCCAGCCGGACCAACTCCATTGCATCCACCAATGCAACCTTACCCGTTCTTTGGCACCCCAAATGCAGCTGTCATGCACAACAATTGCCCAACTTTTGTTCCATATATGACACCCAATCCAATTATCAAACAACCACCTGCACACATCTACCCTGTCGCTCAACCTCATAACCGAACCATTCATGGTTCAACAAAGCAGGACTCCAGAAAGAGGTCAGATACTCAAACAAGTGATGACTCAACAGATGATGTTGCAACAGATTTAGAGCTCAAGACACCTGGATCTACATCTGAGGTTAGTGAGAAATGTTTATAAACAGTGTAGGGAAACCTAGGCAATATTCTTGTTATACTGGGTTTTATGCATATGGGTAAACATGCCACTTTACACAGGTGTCATCATCAGTACAAAAGAGGGCTAAGAAACGTGCAATGGAGGAGAGCAGCCGGACCGATGCAAGTTCTTCTAGCGTGTGTTCATCATCTCAAAGTGTTCATGTTCTTTCAGCAAGCAGTGCAGTAGGTGGTGACACTAAGAAGGATGAGAAACAGAGTAGTAGGGAGGTGTAATATCTCTGTCCATAGATTTGCAGTCTTTTATGTTATTATCACCTAACTGTACTGTACCTTAAACAGTCTAACTTAGTGTCCATGTATTTAATGCTATTAAGTGATGTCCAATAATGGCTGATTATTGAACTTAATAATATTCGTTATTTGTTAGGCAATCCCGGATTGAGATTATTTTCCTCAATCCTAGTTGGTTGCAGATGATCTGGTGAACAAAGGTCACCAACTTTAAAAAAAAAACTAAAAAAATACAAACTGTTGTCTTATCTCTTAGAATTACAATGTGCTGCAGAACCTGAATACCAATGTTCACAACCAAATATGAGATTTCTTGAATTTGGTCTGCATGGAGAAGGGTAGGTGCCAGTCGTTTACCCATCAATTGATAATGTTAAAATATGGCCCATTGAAAAACAACCAATGTGGTATAGGCATGGACCCGGGCCGGGTCGGGCCCGGGCCGGGTCAAGGCCCGGTCGGGCCTCGGGTCCTATAAGGGTAGGCCCGGGACCGGCCCGGTCAATGACCGGTTCCGGTTCGGGCCGGGTCACCCGCCCGGGTCACGGGTCGGGCCACCCGCCGGGCCGGGCCGGGCCAATATTTTTTTTTTTAATTAATTATATATTATAACAAATTGCTATTAAAAACAAAGTTCAAGTGCATTTATTTGAAATAAGAACTACATTTGAGAATTGAGAAAAAAATAACAATACGAAATACATTTTGTAAATTGTAATGAATATCAATTGGGATTTCCGCCACCGTTGGTTGTTGTTTTCCCTTTGTCACAGGACTTCATATGTTTTATTGGCATCCCGTATCCGTATGAACGCCCCAAGCAACAGTCTTTCTTGCACCACCTGCAAGTTGCCCACCACAGTCCGGTCTTCGGGTCCTTCCACTTGTCAAAATTGTTTTGCATAAGGGAAGATGTACTTTCCATATTTAAAATGGTATATGTATAACAGTATAAGTAATTAAGTAGGAATGTAGGATAATAAGAGAAGATGAAGATGGAGAAGAGTTTGAGAAGAATTGGAGAAAAGGTGTAGAAAAATGTTAGAAAATAGATGTATTTATAGGTGTTTTTGAACCCCACTCCCCACACCACCACCCCCGGGACCCCCCTGCCCCCCACCCATAGCCCCAACGGCTATATAGCCGTTTGGGAGCTTTGAATTTTTTTTTTTTTAAGTTATACACATATATATTGTAAAATAAATTAATTAATTTAATGAATTAAGTAAAACTAAAACAAATGTTACAAAATAGGTGTATAAGTATTTAAACAAATTACATATTCTAAATGTATTTTTAATTTAAAAACCGGCTTTATATTTTAGAAAAATAATTTTAAGTCGTTAGATTGTAACCAATTAATTAATTTGAGAAGTGCTACATATGAAAAAGTGAACACATATTTATTTGAAATATGAAGTACAAGTTTACAAATTAATTTGAACTACAACTACAAATTTACAATTTTGAAATATGAAGTACAAGTTTACAATTTTGAAATATGAAGTACAAGTATAAATAAATTTGACAAGTGCTATAAAATACATTTTGTACTAAATTCTAAAATACTAATCAATCGGAATCTCCGGCATAGGTAGAGCCACCATCGGTTGTTGAGTCATCCATAAAATCTTGGGAGGGGGTGATGCTCAATTCTTGAGTTCTACGTGCGGCCTTCAACCAATCGTGGTAGCATATAAGCGTCTCAAGAGACTCCGCGCTCAATCTCGATCTAGATGCCGTTAGGACGTTGCCGGCCGAACTAAATTCTTGTTCCACCGCAACTGTTGAAACCGGCATTGATAGTACTTGCTTAGCCATCCGTGCTAAAATCGGGAACGTTCTTTCTTTTGACTTCCACCAGTCTAGAACGTCAAAGTCATCATTTTCTTCAAAATCAACTTCATATGTTAAATACAAAGTAATCTCATTCAATGCGCTTTGTTCAGTGACGTGAGTTGTTTTAGTTTTTTTCATAAGATTGCCAAATGCAGATTTAAAAATCGATTTTCCTTTAGATGAAGATGTTCATGACGGGGGAGGGGGAGCGTTGCTATATTGTGCAAGAAACTCATTAAATAAGGCATAAAATAAAGTACTAACCTCGTTGTATTCCGTTTTCGGATCTATGGGGTTATCCTCATACATTGGAAATTCACCGAAAAACGCAAGATAATAGAAGTTGAAACAATCTTCCAAATTAGCAAGTCTATAACGAGGATCGAGAATAAATGCAATACCATAAATATGGGGAATATGCGCATAATATTTTAAAAACTTTTCCTTCATATGATCACAAAAATAATGAACGAAAACGGCATTTTGAAATTCTTTAAAAGCATCGGCGAGATTAACAGCTTGTGGAATAAATTGGTTTGCGGTAGGTTTATAAACATGACTAAAAGTTTCAGTAGCATTAAAAAAATATATCAAAACATTACAAATTTTTTCGCAAGTGTCGATCTCAGCCGCGTTTATAATATAGTTATCATGTTCTTTTAAAAAAGCAGGAAAATGTTCTTTATATCTAAGAACAACTTTAAGTAATTTATAAGTACTATTCCAACGAATACTCAAATCTTTAGGAAAAACAACATATCTCACACCTCTTTCAGTCAAATAACTTTGCCATTTTAATCTAAGTTGACCATTACCCCAAATACGTCTAACCCCCCCCCTTTATTACCTCCATGGAATCTCCTAACGCTTTTAAACCGTCTTGCACACATAAATTTATAACATGACATGCACACCGTTGATGAAAAAATCTACCCATCAAAGAATTGGCACCACACAACTCACGCAATCTAGGTATAGCAGCAGTATTATTAGTAGCATTATCGAAACCAATAGCAAACACCTTATCAATCAAATTATACTCAATTAAAATACGCTCAATCAAAATATAAATATGTTCAGCGGTGTGACGATCATTAAATTCACGAAAAGCAAGAACACGTTTATGCATATTCCAATCCTCATCAATATAATGTGCAGTCAGACCCAAATAATATAAATGATGAAAATCATATATCCTCCCATATGTCAGAACAAATAGTAACACGCCCATCAAAGTTTGCAAAAAAATTTTGTAACCTTTCCTTTTCCGCATTATAAAGCCTTATTATTTCTTTCTTAACAGTTTTGCGACTATAATTTCTAAATTGAGGATTTAAACTACCTTGTGCATAATCTCTTAAAGCAAGACTTTCAGAAAACAAATAAGGCAAATTTTCTTCACAAATTAAGTTAGCCATACCAGTCAAATTTTGTGCATCATTGTAGGAGAAATTACCAAAAGGTTGAGAATTCGCAAACCTCGATATTTGAGTTTGCTTCCCCGTTCCGCCGCCTAATTTTGCATACTCCACGGGGTGCTTTGCCTTAAGATGCCTTGCGGCGGATCCGTATCCGCCGGAGGTTCCCAAACTATAATTGTTGTTGCACCACTTGCAAGTTGCGTGCCAATAGCCGGTTTGTGGGTCCTTCCATTTATCAAAATTATTTTTCATTAGTTCAGACTTACTTTTTTTATTACCGGTGGCGGTTTGGGATGAGGCAGGCGCGTCGGCGTCGTGGCTGCCGGCACCCTCCTCCTCGGCCGTCTCCGGTTCCAATTCCTCCGCATCTTCATCCTCAAGCTCCTCTTCGTCAATGGTCGTCGGCATTTGTTGTTGTTGTAGAAAGCGGTTATTATGTCGGGCCAATTCTTGTTGGAGTTGTTCTTCGGACATCGCATCTCCATCTCGCCTTTGGTAACCCGTTTCAAAATCATCTCGACTTTGAGATGAAGACCCGGCAAGTTCTTTACCTTTGCGGGATTTCTTCCTCCCAATCTCGTTTCTTCGATTGCGTTGGAGGTTACCCAAATCAACCGAATATCTACCACCTTCCATCTAAAAAATGTAACAAATATTAATTCACAACAAATATAATAATGGATACAAAACTAATGCAACTAATTAAAACTATTTTAATTAATACTTCAAACTAATTTTTTGCAAAGTAGAATTAATGTGTGTCTCTACAATTAAAATTATAGCAACTTTTGAAGTAAATAACTAGTACAAGTAAAAATGTAACAACAATGCTAATTAAGTAGTTAACTAGTATAGTGACAAATGTAACAAACTAACAACTAGTTAAATAAAATGTGAAGTATTTTAATTAGTATAATGAAAAATGTAACAAGAATGGTATTGAAGTATTGAACTAATTAACTAGTATAATGAAAAATGTAACAAGAATGGTATTGAACTAATTAACTAGTATAATGAAAAATGTAACAAGAATGCTAATTAAGTAATTAACTAGTATAATGAAAAATGTTACAATAATGATAATGAACTAATTAACTAGTATAATGAAAAATGTAACAAGAATGCTAATTAACTTATTAACTAGTATAATACTAGTTATAGTAAGTAATATATAATATAATGTTTATATTATATAATATATAAGTATACTATACTATACGATGAGTAATACACTTATATTTTATACTTTAATATATAAAATATATATTAAGTAGATGTAGAATGTATGTATTAAGTGGATATAATAATTGTATAAGAATTAAATATTAGAGTATAATGGAGAATTGGAGATTGGAAAATAAGTATATATAAAATATAAGTAGAGAAGTAGATATTATTATGTATGTATGTATATAAGTAGATATAGTATGTATGTATGTATTAAGAGATATAAGTATAAATTAAGTAGATAAGAAATATAAGCAATATAGTATATGTAGATAATAATATATATAAGTAGATAATTAATATATAAGTAGATATAATAATTGTATAAGTATTAAATAGTAAAATAAAATATAAAGGAGAATAAGAGAATTAGAGAAGATGAATATGGAGAATTGGAGAATGGAGATGAGTAGAGAGTAGGATTTAGAAGAGTTGGAGAAGAGGTGTGAAAAAATGTTTAAAATTAGGAGTATTTATAGGTTTTTTTTTTTAACCCCCACCCCCACCCCCCACCCCACCCCCCACCCAAACCCCCCTGACCCCCCCCTGGTACCACCCAACGGCTATATAGCCGTTTGGGGTGGCCGTTGAGCCAAAAGAATCCAAAAAAAATTTTTTTTTTTTAAATATTGGACCGTTAGGCCCGGGCCCGGGCCCGGGCCCGACCCGGCCGGGCCGGGCCTCCAAAACCAGGACCCGAGCCC